ATATATAACAAGTTCAATCCACACTACTGGAGATTTATATTCAGAAACAGATTTTGAAAACTTTGTACATCTTAATGGAAAGATATAGTTGAAAAGTTTCCTTTGCTATTTGGGCTCATTGTAACCTAATCAGAATAAAAAAAAGTATCTTTTTTTATATATATGATGTACTTTTAGAGAAAAATGATGTCCATATATGTGGACTCGTGGTCCGAATTTACATAAAACACTTTTTCTTGACCGTTTTTTAATGCATATATAACATAGAATTTTTTTTGAACATGTTTTGACTACCAGAAAGTAAAAACAAATTTTTTTTTGCCCATTTTGGACAGTTAAAAATAATGTTTGGGACCTTTCATATGCTGCAAAACAGTTGCAGGATGACGCTGTATGTAACAAAATATGAAATATTCAAAGCATTTTAAATAGCCACTTAGAGCTATAATGTGCTGTCTACATATGTGGCCACTAAGCCCTAGGAGGTTAATGCTAGTTCTCCTCACCCAACGTTCCCCCGAAGTGTGTGCCTTAATCTCCGGCTGTGTCAGATAAACAGCACAGTGACAGACATGAAGGAAGCAGATCTCACGTAACATTTGTGAGAAAAACTACAGTAAGAACTTTCCCAATGATTATTTGATGTATTTCTTGTGGAGTTAATTCAAGCCTTTATGCAATGATGAGTCACACACATGCATACATACAGTGCTCGAATTTAACTTTGCACTGTTTATTGTATGGTTAATGTGACGGGATATACGTTAATATCCACTGCTGTAGATATCCTTTAAGCTAATGTCCAAAATAAATCTGATTTAACATACTCAAACTGAATCGTCTTCCTTTATATTTGTACTGACATGCTGCTGTATAAAGACGGTAAAATCACTGCAATTCAATACAAACATACACCGTTTGTACAACTTGTAAAACTCATATTTGATCATATTTGATGATGATTGATGATCAAAGAGAGCTGAACAGATCTTGTAATCCCAGTTGCTTTGAGCACGTCCTGTCTTATTAATGATTATACACTTTACTATAGAGACATGTTAATACATAGATGTCATTCAATTTAGCGGGTGGGGAAACCGCACTCCTACATCAAAACAGGAGAGATTTGGATCCTATTTTAACATCAGAAATTTAAAAAAAGAGACTTATTGCCTTTATATCACTCCAGTATGACTGTGGACATATTATACCAACACACAGTTTTGTTCAGACAGCTTCCAAAAGATTTTATCATAGGTGCTCTTTAAGCATTTTAAGTGATTTTGCAAAATACACATTTAAATAGGTGGAAGGAAACTGCTATAGTGTGCTAAATAAAAAGAAAGACAGGAAACCAAGTTACACATACAACACTTTTATTTTTGAAATTTAAGACAATGAAGCATAAGCCAAGAGCACCAAGAGTGACAGCTACTGGTGAAAGGGGGGCATGCTTCTGCTCCCCTGCAAGAACAGCAAACTGTAACCCAAAGTCAAACAAAAGATTACTATAGAGCAACTTAGTAACAGCCTGGGAGTAGGGACCAATAACTGTACATGAGAGAAAGAAGGAACGATGAAGAGAGAGGACACCGAGTGTGAGTAATTACAATGTACAGTACGAACCTCGGGCTGTGTATAAAAAATAAAATAATTAAACATATAAGAAGGTTTGAGAGACAGTGATATCCACGTCACTCCACAGTCCCTATTTCAGGAAGTGTATTGAGGGTTTACTACCAAGGGTCAAATCAGAAATTCAGAGGGAGGTCATGGGTGACTCAAGAGTCATCTCATGTATGATCGTTGTCAAGTGCTGTAACCATGACACTCGGTTCCACCATCAGCCCCTTCCTCGAAAACAAATATACGTGCATCATTTTAAATGGGTGATGCTTGTGATGTATTGGATCTGAAAAAGATTCAACCAGAATTAAACAAGTCAGTCTTTGTTCCTGTCTAAAAATTGCTGTACCTCCGTCTAGTTTGTGTACAGAAATGGTTTGAAGAACACTGAACAGAAAATGTTTCCTGTTGGTATACTGTGCAAGGCTCTGCACACAAAATGGCTTGCAACATTCTCTCTAACATTTTAACACAGTCTTGTTATTTTCTAAGAAGTCTCAGCTTCCCAAGTTAGGCTACTGACATCAACACACCGCCAATCCAAACCTTAGCATATCATCTGAAAATCATGACCTTTCATTCTGCTTTGAGATCTGTGATAGTCTCCATCCATACACATTATTCATGTGCTGTCCAATCACTTAAGTTAGTAATGTCTGATCTTGGTCCGGGATGGCCGGTATCCAGGAGAGTTAGGCTCCAACCCTAATCAAACACACCTTAACCAGCTAATCAAGCTCTCACTAGATATACTAGAAACTTAATCAAGTTGGAGCTAAATTCAGCAGGACACTGGCCCTCCAGGGCCGAGTCTGGACATTCCTGACTTAAGTCAATCTGAATAGACCTGGTGGTCTAGAAAAATGTCATAAATTACATTTAACTATATTGATCTGGTTAACAAACACAGAGCAAGTACATACCTTAATAATAACTTTGTTACTAAAATATGGGGGACTGAAAGCTTTGAGTATTTCAATTTCCTCGCAGAACACACTACACGCTTGTATAAAAACTCTAAATGAACGCTTATGTTTTTAATAGCATTTTCTACAATAAGGAATTATGCTTTCATTTGCCGCAAGATGAAATTGAACTAAACTGGGGGCTACTTAAGGTTGGGTTACCTTAGAAAAGGGTGCGGAATTTAAGAAAAGGCACTTCTGAAAGTAAGAAGCAAATTCACATAATGAGCCAATTAGCACCTAGGATTAGAGCCAATTTGCAGTTACTTTGTTAGGATGGTTTCTGATCTCTCTGACAATTTTTCACCTACCTTAAACCTTTGGTCACATTAATCTATAGTTTCTCTCACACACCTTTTAATGGCATTGCACTATATCCATTGCTGTCATGATGTGAACAGGATGATTTTTACCTGAAGGTGATTTCGAAGGAAACCCACTTCTCAAACAATTCACATTGGTTTACATATGGGTCACCATTATAGCTAAGCCCAAAAACATTATTGCATTTTTTTTTTACAGTTACTAATATTAAAAATATTTCATTTTAAAATCTGTATCAATATATATGTAGATAGATATCTATTTTAATCCATTATGTCTTAAGTAAAACTAGGGAAGCTAAGGTGGAGAGAAGAGGCAGCATGATCCACTTCTCTACCCCCATCCGACTGAGCAAATATTCCAGCCCTGATGAAAATTGGTACAGGTATAGGTAGGTACAAGTCAAGTTTCATGAGTTAGTGCAGTAAGGAGTGTCTGGAGCAAAGCCAAGCATGACACTTTTACAGATGAGCAGGACAGCTGGCCCCTTCAGATGCCATGTCAACCTGAAACCTGCTTCACAACCATAATCCAAGCTAAAGCTCTGTCTAAATTGCACTAATTTCACCCACACCTCAAAAAAAGGGGTGAGGGAGATCAAATCATACCACTGAGAGTTCCCCGAAGATCCTTCCTCATGTCTTAATATTTATTCCTAGTTTGACCCTGGCACTTTTCTCTTGTGCAAGAAAAAAATGACTCAACGGGAAAATGTGCAGGAAGACTTTAAATGCATCAGGATAGGCTGTGATTACTGTGAAAGATTAGTGTTGTATGGGAGGAGCAGATAACACAAAAGGTTTCATGCCAGCTGAAGTCTTGACAGGGAGGTCAGGGGCAGTGCAACATACACACATACACAAAGCTGGTTGCTGGTTATAGTCACACTGCTGTTTCGAGCCTGAGCTTTGCATTTGGCAGTTCTACCTGATCTCATCAACTGAAATAAAATATGCAAGTTGAGGGAGTCAATAGTCATATCCCTAGCTCAACTCAAAAACACATCATACATCAGCACCAGGTCCATGAAGATGATGTTTCATGGAGCCATTTCATGACACTCAGTGCAGGAACAGTCATTGGAAAAATTCTCTTCCAATTGGACCACTGTTTGTAACTCATAAATTTTAGATGTATGAAGGCACACTGCTTAAATGATCTATCTTGTTTTGAGAATGGGCAAATATTTGTGCCATTCAAATGAGATATGGAGCTAGAAATTGCTCATTTTTGTCAAAGTAACTGTAGCGATGTTCTGATTGATTCTAAAGTGATCAAGGCGCTGGTCTTGGCCAGGGGAATCAATGCGAACATACTCAATTTGAGCTCTGAACATCCCCTGGACGCTTTCAGAAACAATCTGAAACACTTAAATGTACAACTCGGTAAGTATTAAAAAACATCCTATAATTAAAATCAAATTAAACAGGCCTCACAAAACAAGCCAGCTTGACCCAAAGCATTGGCACTGATGGGAAACCTCAAACCCTAGTCTGTCCTCTCTAGAGCAATGTGGGTTAGACAAAGTGAGATTATAGTGTTTATTCCTATAAAGGACGATGTTTACGCCTGACAACAATGGTCCCAGTGTAGCAGGTTTATGTATTGCCTCTGCTGCACCCACTAACATAAGCACAGTTAAGTTAAAGTGCTTTCAATCAGCGCCCAACTTCCAGGACACCGATAGACCATTCACAACAATACAAAAAAGACGATACAGAATTAGTCACCCCCTGTGCAATTAGTGGTAGGAATTAATGATTACAAAACATACATACAGCAAAAGAACGCAGAGTGTGAGTAACTATGTTTTTTGAAAACCAAGCGCTCTCACATCACACCACGTCACATTGTGCACCATTTGTCCTTACAGCTTCCCAGAAGCGCAAGGAAGCAAAACGTCACAGAGCCCTTCTCTCCACTGCAATGCATTCCAAAAAGCTATCTGGACACTTTAACTATCTTTCATGGATCTCTTCTGCCTTTCTTTTAGCAGGGGGAAAGTCTTTCTAAAGTCTTTCCTGCTCCTGAATGCCTCCTCCTCTAACCGCGGAATGAGCACAGAACATTACCATGGGAACCACTGACAGAGCACCAAGAAATCTAAGGATGATGAAAGAAGCTGGAAAAAGCAATATTTGGACATCACCAAACTTCTCCTCTGCCCTCAGAATTTGTCCACAATGTTACTTTAAATAAACACTAACAATGCAATTTCGATGCAAGGGAATTATGGGGAGGCAGGGAGGTGAACGGTACAACAGAAAAAAAAGTGAAATGGCTATAAACCAGTCAAACATTTAAAGGGTGGAGAGGCATAAAAATAGCTGAATCTGTAAATCCCCCTTAGAAAACGGCCATGGGAACTGAGAAAGAAAGAAAATGAGACCAAGACCTCGGCTGCTTCATCCTAGTCCAGAAGCTGTAGTGAAATGTGCACACTGGAGAGCTTGTATATGTAACTTATTTGTTTGTTAGAGTGATAACAAAAAAAAATAATGATAGAAACTTAGTGTTCAGTTTCAGGTCCCTCCTTTCTTCCAACCCCAAACATCTGACCCCTTCCCAAAAAGTGTGTAATTCTTTCACCTCTGCAAAGTGGTGAATGAATTACTCTTGATGCAGAGATGAGAAGTACAGTATCTGGCCTTCCTCACTTGGCCTTGACCGGCTCCCGCTCAAGCCAGCGTACACGCACCCTCTGCTTATAGTGATACTCCCTGAGGTAGTCCTGCAAAGCAGGGGGCAGTGGTAGTGCCCCGATGCCATCGTAGGTGATCCCATGGCAAATTGCGGCTCGAGCCAGGCTTTGCAGACCAAATGGGAAGGTCCGGTGCAGAGGCACAGTGAGCAATGGCTCAAAGAACATGCAAGCGCTAGGGTCCTTGTAGTGCTCCAAGAGTGCGGTGACAGTGGCTGCATGGAACACGCAGGGGTCGTGTGCATCAAAGCTGAAGTTGTGATTCCACTGCTCAATGCGTGCATGCAGTGAACGACCATATCGACGGAAGCTAACAGAAAATAGGTAGTCTTCCTGAGCAGAGTCACGCAGCAAAAAAGTTCCCTCTGGTCGACCATCTAGCAGTGCTTCAGCCTCGTAACGGTCCATCACACCCCAGTAACAGGGAAGGGCTGTGATCTGCAGCAGATCTGGAACCAAGCAATGGATATAGTCGATCTGGGTGTGCACTTTCCAAGGACCCGGTTGCTTGCTGCTTGGATGGCCCTCTCCTGAAGCTTGCCACTGCTTGGGCTTGCGAGCTTGCAAGCAAAGTGTGGTGGTTTCATCGTCCTCAGAGTCACAGTTAGCTGCTGCTGCACCTCGGCTATCGCCTACGGCCTCACCCATTCCAGGGGCAAGCTTCGGTCCTAGCTTATAAAGAGAAGCTAAAGGGGCTGTGATGGCCTCCACTGTGTGGATCTGAGCATCTGGAGGTGGGTCCACACCCTCCTCAATGCTAAGTCGCCTCCTTTCTCGCAAACGCTCCTCTTCATCTTCCGGGGATGCACAGGTAGCACCACATGCATCCGGGGATGAATCCAATGGAATCACGTTGATAGGTGCAGTGTGTTGTTTAATAAGGTGCCATTTTCTGGCAAGGTCTGATCCTGGTGCAAATGGACATGTCTCCAGCATCAGCTCCGTAATTTGTATCTTGCGTTTGGGTGGTGGTAGGTGAGTATTTCGAGAAGATGAGCGTAGTGGGAGGCATAGTCCCACCGTATCATGGATTTGCTGGCGAATTGAACGTGTTGTCCCTGACTCCAACTCCTCAGGGCTGTTACTAGTCCCATGTCTGCGTCGAGACCGGCCTGATCGTCGATCGGTGGTTTCTAGAGAACTCTGAGCCTTAGTAGAACACGAGTGTCTCTTTTTTCCGCTCCAAGGTGCATGACGTGAATAAGAGTCTCTGCGGGCTCCCAGTGGAGCACGAGCATCATCAGCATCCTGCTCGACAGTGATCTCCAGTATCTGGGGTACATCTGCTACACAGTTATGGCCTCGCCGTGTCACACTCCCACTGGTCCTCCATGCCACTAGAGGAAGTGCTGCTACACTGCTAGAGGGACTGTTGGCATCTAGGGTGATGTCGCCCTGGGCTCCGTCCACACTGTGGCATACCGTGTCTGTTTGTGGTTGATGCTGTGGTGATGTTTCAACACGAGAACCCCCATCTGTGTGAAGCAGAGACTGACACCCTCTCTTCAGGTTGCTCCACACCTTGCCAACCTTCTCCATGAGGCGGGGGCACCTGGAACTAGAAAAAAGAAAACAGAATTTAGTTATTACCTCGTAAAAAAAAAACTAAATATCTAGTTATAAGCAAGCACAAACAAGGCTCAGACACAAGAGTGTGCATGTGTGTCAGGAACTGTGGGAGAGCAAAGTGACTAAGGCCCCATTTACGCATACATCTTGGGAAATCATAGCACAAGTTTGTAACAGCAAACATGTTCATTTTTAAAATAGACTGATGTTTGAAACAAGGTCAAAAACAAAAGCGTCAACTTTGCTTTTCTTCATAGATATAATAAAAACTATAATGTTTTAATTGACCACCGCACTCTACCACAAGCTTTTGTTATTAGGGGACTTTTCCCCCCAATTTAATTAAGGTTTCCTAATTTTAATCAATGGTTTGTTCTTTTTACATCAATTATACACATTTATTTTCACAATTTATGCTAAAATTACTAATTATTTATTGACCATTATACATATAAAAAAACTGCTTAACTGTGATAGTTTAGTTAAGAAATCCATTTAAAAATCTGAAAAAGCCTAGAAATGTCAAGAATAGCTATTTAGAGAACACGTAAAACATGCATAATTGAATATTACATGTTATGCTAAAACACTAATATACTCAACACTAATACAACTCAAATTAGGATTGCACTGTTTATATGATAACAGTCAGTGACAGATCTTAATAAGAGATAAAACGTCAGGTAGCCTAGGAGACTCATGTTAATTCCAGGTGTATAAGCCAATCTTTCTTGGCTGACCACTTGGGATCAGATCGCCCAAGAAGGATGTTAATACCAGGTGTAAACAGGGCCTAAGTGATTAAAGTGTTGCCAGGCAGACTCGCTGAGACTCAAGGCCAGCGCTAAAAATGAACCCATGGATCTGCTCCCAGTCAACATGCTGCCGTGGGCTGAGTTACAATGCCGGTCTAGGCCTGTCTTTTTCTGACCTGCCACAGTGGAGTGCATTACAGCTAATGAACTGAGAGGTTTTGCATGAGCTCTGTAAATCCTATCTGCTGTAATCATTGTGTAACCACCAAAAAAAACTTTGAACTTAGTTTAAACAATAAAATAAACAAAATATTAAATGTAAAAGTGAATTGGCTTGGACTTATTCATTGACTGTTCACCCCATGGATGTTATTCACATGTAATTGTAAAAGCAACACTATGTTAGAAAAAACTAAAATGTCAGAACAAGCTAAATGTGAGTCAGCAAAGCAGTGAGTAGTAATGATGTCCTCCAGGTGAAGCGTGAGCTCAAGGACAGCTTGTGCTCAGAAAAACTAGCTTCTTTATTGAGCATATGTACTCTGGCTAAACACTCTTCTCAAAAGACAAACGTGCTGCCACTGAAAACAAATGAAACCCCAGGAACAGATCCTTCTACAGACAGCCAAAGCCGAAAGTGATTTCAACACCAAAACTGTATAGCATAATACATATGGTGCCCAAATATTACCATTAAAGCATGTCAACGCATTAGTTTGCACAGAAAACAAGACTTTAAATTATTTAATGTGAAATATGTCACAATGTGAAGCCTGAACGAGAGAGAAAAACGGCCATACATAATTAATGTAAGTTCATCAAGTCTCCTGATAAAAAGGAACAACAGAATGTAGGTCATGTGAGAGAACGAGCAGAGCGTTATTCACCTTCTCTCAGATGGTAGAGAGGAAGAGTGTCAAGTTTTTTTTTTTTTTTCATTTAGGTTGCTTGGTGAAGTTGGTGCCATGTGTAAATGTAATAAACATTTGAGATGGACTAACTTGTGAGGCTGACACCATTTGCTGATTTTCAGTTTTAAAGGATCAGGGGTTGGAAGATCAGACAAAACAAGCTTTTCACATTTGAAATATGTAACCCTGGGTCGTTTTTAACCCTGCATAAATGAATCCTGGGTTATCTTGATTTTTAATTATTTCACACTATGCATAACAATGAATCAAAAGCATTTAAATGCTGCTGTTTCAACACTGTGAATCCTAAACCCTGGGTTAATGTCCTTATTGGCATATTGCAGTGTCACACATTAGATGAACGCAGCCTGTTTGCTTTAAAACAGACTGACAATATTAAATGTAGTCTTTCAATTTACATGATTTTGGCCCATTTCCACTGAGTGGTATGGTTTGTACAGTACGGTACACATTTATGTCCATTTCCACTGTCAAAATGACCAAAATAGTAAATCATACCACACCACATTATTCTCAGTGGAAACAAGGCATTAAATATTTTCACCTCAAACGACTGGTTATAAACAAAACGCACTGTTTTACCCAAGCATGTGAATATGAGGCAAGTTCTTGGCTGTTATTACGCATAGTCCTAACCCGCCTAACACCTAAAAGAATGGTGACCCTGTTTTGAATGAGGGTTTCATAACAAAACAAAAAAAGGGTACAAAAAAAAGAAGAAAAAAAAGTAAGTGCTAACCCATTCTAACTTGTGAAGTGTCTAAATTGTCAAGTATAAAGCATTGCTGCAGTGTATCCAGCTTTAAACAGGGTTTAAAACAATACTTCTTATATTTTTTTTTATATGAGATAGCAAATGAAAGCAAATAGTAAGTAACAGGCATGGGACGATAACCGTTTTCAAACTGTGGTTTGGAAAAGTAAACCGCCCAAATTTTCGGCTATACAGTTCCTAAGGTATGTGTAATGTGTAATATAATATATATATATATATATATATATATTTTTTTTTAAGGATAACAGTATCTCCAGCAGAAAAGATATCCAAAAATGCCATTTTAAATTGTAAAGAAATCTGTGCTTTAGAAACTAACGAAGACAGCAGAAGTCACTGATTCATTTGAATTATTTAGCCTGACATGTTTATTGCTCCAAGATATTTTAAATGTTTCTCAAAATAAAATATATTGTGTTAAAAGGGGAAAAAAGTTTTAGTTTTCTACCCAGACATTTAAGAAGATATTTTAGAGCAGTGAGCACAATACTGTGAAACTGTGATAGTTTTATCCAAGGTTATCATATCAACGTCTTGACAGGCCCATGCTTAGTAATTTGTATTTATATAGTGCATTTATTGTGTATTGTCATACACCCAGAGCTCTTCACAAATATGAGGGGGGCAGGGGTCTCTGAACACCATCATCAGTGTGCAGCATCCACTTGGATGACAGCCACAGGACAATGGTGCCAATGAGCTACCCACACTCCAGCTATTGGTGGAGTGGATAGACAGTGATAGAGCCAATTCGGTGGATGAGGGTTGACTGGAGGGCCATGATGGGTTAGGGCCGATGGAGAGAATTTGGCCAGGACACTTGGGTTACATCACTGCTTTTTTTAACAAGAAGTGGCATGGAATTTTTTATGATCAGAGAATTAGGCCAGGCGGTCACAGACAGTATAGCATCCCCTTCACTAAACTGGGGCATTAGGACTCACACAAACCGGAGGTTGAGCGCCCCTGTTGACATTACTAACACCACTTTCAACAGCAACCTAGTTTTAAAATTTTAATAAATATTTTACATTGTTTTGTGAATTAATGGCTAATTTATAAGACTATTTTTACATTTTTGTGTAACCTACTCACACCTCAGTGACGGTACATTTTAGGGAGAGGTTAGGGGCAAATTGATGTGGTTGATTTAAACAGCCATGACTTTTAAACACTACAATCTGGTGAATCTTCATTTGGTAATATCAAATTCCAACTTGTGCGTGTGCGTGTGTGTGTGTACATATATATATATATATATATATATATATATATATATATATATATATATATATATATATATATATATTAGTGCTGTCAATCAATTAAAAATAATTAACGAATTAATCACACCTTTTTAAAAAAATTAAAACACAGGCATGTTAATGACATTTAAATTTCAAAACAATCAATGCCAATAAAGAAAACATTGATTTCCATGTTGGATTCTAAGTGGACTGCAAAAAAATGCCAAAATACAGGAATTGCAGATATGGAAAATAAAAAATGATAATAATAAACTATAGAATAGAAAAAGTTGCACTCATTGTAAAGTTTTATTGCTGAGAGTTGAGAACATTAATTATAGAGTAGAAACAATTTTGCTTAATCCTCCTTTACATTCATCCAGTTGCTAAGACTAGGAGTATCCCACAAGTGCACAGAGACTACCAAATGCCCGCAAATGAATGATAATTTCTTGCAAACCGGTCGTTAAATACATTGCACACCCCTCTCGCCCCTACTCAGATACGTCGCTCACTCCACCCCTGACACCCCTCAACGGGCCTGACACAGACACACACACAGACAGACACACACACACAACACGCTGCAGATGTTTTGGCCCCAATGGCCTTTCATACTGGAGCAACTCCCCTCAGATTCAACACGCATGATCACGTTCATCAAATTTGCTAAGCGTCCTAAACTAAGCGTCCTAAAGTATTACCGTATTTCACAAAGATTCTGACACAACAACGCGAAGCATACGCTTTCGTTGCGTTTAATGAGGAAACACGCTAAACTTGGAGGGCTCATGCTGAAAGGCAGAGTAATGCCCTGTCTTTGACAGCTCGCGACTTCACCAGACGTTCTGAGTACATTTACATAAGACACCAATACTACGATTTTAATATGGTTAAGATAATACTCTTATTAAAATTCTACCGTGTAGCCTTAAAAGGAACCTTACCTTAAAGGCACACCGAGTCACGAAATGCGGAGGATTTTCTTTCTGTTCGCCATGCGGTATCAACTTACAACAGATGTTGAAAGTTAAAAATGAAACACCCGAAATTGCATGAAACTTTGGAAAACTAGTGATGCAACTAATTGTTTTATACTGGAACTTGCCTTCAAAAAGTGCTTCCTTGGTTTTATCCACATTTATTGCATGTTGAACACACGTCCACCACAACAGGAAGTAAAAAAAACCTGAACTGCGTTAATTTTTTTTAACACGTTAATTATTTAAAATTAATCGCATGTGTTAACGCGTTAATTTTGACAGCGCCAATATATATAT